GGCGGGGGGGGGCTGTGGTTAGGGCCGCTTCCCAGCAGGACCCAGGGAAGACAAAGACGTGTGACCCCCCAGGGGGAATGCTTGCACTGACCATAGAGCCCAGGATGGAAGAGAGCCCCAAAGGGAGGGATCGGTTGGCTGTAACACTTGAAACACTCAAGAGGCTGGAAAGAGGAGTCTCCACTGACCCCAGGAGCTGCAGGAAGAAGGCCCACAAGCCTTACAGCTGGGCCTCACCTGGCCGCCCATCCCCTCGCCATACAGGCGGGAAACAGCAGCCCAGAGAGGGCACAGACATGTGTGAGGACACGCAGCACAGCAGGTGGTGAGGTCCCTCCTCTCTGGAGTCCCTGCAGGACTGCGGGCTCCTCCTTTGTCAGGATGGCGACCCGGCCGGCTCGTCTCCCTGGGGTCTGAGAAGGGTAGAGTCTGTGCGTGGCCAGGCCTCTCACCCCATCCCTCTTGGGGGAAACTGGCCCAGGATGAGTCACTGGCTCTGTGTCCCTGGGGCTTGCCCGGAGGCTGGCCACGTGGGAGCAAGCTCACTGCCCAAATTTCCCCTTTCGGGTAAACAGTAGCCACTTCCTCCCGGGTTGGCCACTTCCTTTTGGCCACTGGGCTCCAAGAGGCTAGAGGGGGCAGACCCAGTAGCCCCAAGCAGGCCTGTCCTAGACACGGCGGGGGTGGGGGGCTACACAGGTGCGTAAAGCTGGCCCCTGACCACGGGACGCGGACATTCAGCTTGGAGACTTGGGGACCAGCAGAGTGTCCATGAGCCATGGAAGAAGGGTCACGAGGGAGGACCCAGGAGCCGGCAGAGATCCGGTGTAGGAGGGCCCTGAGCCGGGGGTCTGGCTGGAAAGGAACTGAAGCTGCATTTGTTCAGCATTTTACATAATTGACTAAACTTGTCCGAATGGAGGGTGGGGGAAGGGCAGCAGGGGACGAGATAAAGCGCCATCCTGTAGCCCCTTGAGGGCATGGCCCTCGGGACCCAGGCATGACACAATGCAGGGTTTGTTCCTGGAAAACCAGCGGCCAGGACTGGCCTTGAGGGAGTGGGCAGGGCTGGCAGCCTGGGAGATGTCTGGGGGGTCGGGACGGGGGCGGGGTCTGTCCTGGAGGCTCAGGCCCCTTCTACTGGGCGGGGCTGGGGGGACAGGGACTTGGATGACAAGTTGTGGCCACTTTGACCGGCTCACTGGGGTCTCAGGGCCTGCGGCTGAGCAGCCTCCTCAGAGGGCCGCATTCTGCGCCTGGCCAGGCGGTCTGTTCCTTAGCTTCTGTAGGCCCAGCGCCCAGCTCTGCCAGCTCTCAAGGGGCCGACGAGGTGTCTGTAGCCTAAGACAGATATACTCGGGCTCCAAAGCCTGAGAAAAAGCAAAATCTACATTAATACACATTTAATTAGATGTCAAGTGTAACATTATGTCAATGTCATAGTAATCATAAAAACGTCACTCCTGGGGGCCTGGGTGGCTCAGTTG